CAGTAGAAGGTGACACTTGAACTATGGGTGGCCGGCAGGACGCCTACTAATTGATCTAACCTGACCTGACCCGACCTGGCCTAAATGCATAAAGACATCGTCTGTGATCAAAACTAACATGAAATTCGTGATCAGCACCCCAAAATACCCCGTAACACCCTAACTTTGCGAAGTTTCAAGAGGTCTCGATTTCCCAACTTTAGTTGGGTCATTAAACTGACTTGGAAAGTCAGCTTATGACCTTGGACTTTGAAATTGGATATATTCGGCCTAATTTCGTCATAGGCAGCACGTTTGACTTTTCCGCGAAGCTCTAGCTTGATCAGGGGCCAAACGGCTGAGCGAGGGGTCCAATTGAACCCCCTATACTATGTTGATTATGCACATTTACAGGTAAAATTCTCACCAGGACACAACAGCCAACATCTGTGCACAATCTGGCTACAATTCTACCTATGGTTTGCCCTCTACGAATAAATACGTGCTAGATCGGAAAAATCCCCACTGTGCATTGGGGCCGAGGCCTTCGGTTAAAAGAATGCATTCCCATGTGTTGCGGTTAGCCCGCGCCCTGGTGGGGTCTGTTTATAACGCGACCTGGTGGGGGGGGGGGGGCTATTTTTTGCCCCCCCCTCGTATCTCCTAAACTACTGGACGGATCCGCAAAATTCAAACGGCGTTCGAAAGGCCTGTCAAATTTGTCGAAGGAAACCAAATTTCATTGACCTCGGGGTTACCGATGACGTCACAGGTCAGGTCAAAGATGAAATGTTTCACCGTTCACGGTTCTACTAGGGAATGCGCTATAACACCGAGGAAAACGCATTTTGTCGAGAATCAGCGATAGGGCGTCAGTTGCCTAGTAGATATGTTGCTATTAGAGGTCACTGACAATACCAGGTCAGGTCACAGGTCAGGTCACCAAGGGTCACAGGTGAGGTCACATGAGCCCAACTTTACTAAGGTTGTGTGATGCATGTTTTATGGCCAATTTTTCATTTCCAGCTCAATGGTGTTGGTTATAAGACTATCAGGTACGGCTTAGGTTACTTTCTGGTGAAGGTCAGGTCAACGTCAGGTCAAGGTCAGGCCAAAAAAGGTCAAATTTTAAAGTTGATATTTTTGCATAAAATGGGTATTGATTCGATGCAGCTCGTCACGGGGAGTCTAATGGTGGTCTTTGTTTTGCGCTACGGCGTCTAGAATTGCTAAAAATTGAGTTTGAAAATTTGACGTCATCAATTTTGATCAGTTTTTTCGCTATAACTTCGCCAAAAAAAGAGGTATCAATCTAAAATTTGGTATGTGGATGTAAGGCGGTAGGGACTATCACATATATTCCGATTTTTGCGAAATTCAAAAACTTTTTGGATTTTTCGACTATTATATCCAAAAAATCTATTTTTTGATTTTTGGGGGTCAAAATCAAAAAATTTCAAAAATCCGAGATAGTAATTTTGTAGCCCTGTCAATTCTACAGCTTTTATGTCTTTATCATTTTTTTGTATTTGCAAGGCTATAGGCCTGACAACTCTTCCCGCGAAACCCTTTTTTGGGTCGAAAACGGCAGAACATGACGTCACTCTGACGTCATTTCCGGCCAACCTATCATAGCTTTTGGAAAAATATTTGGTCACAATGTGTAAAATTGATGTCCGGGAGGGTACTGAAAGTTTGGTGACGATCGGCGCAGCGGTTCTGGAGATATATCGAAAAGTCTGGAGGGGGGGGGGGGCAAAAAATAGCCCCCCCCCCCACCAGGTCGCGGGTTAGGGTGCTACTGCACGTGCGCACGTGCAAGGGGGCGTTTCCAGATCTCGAGAACGGCTGGGCCGATTGCGCTCAAATTTGGTACACGGTTGGGGACCGGTTAGTAGGGTGTCGTGCAAAGGTCATTTTGGACCCCGTTTGCACGTGCGCACGTGCAGAATGCCGCTTCCAGGTCTCAGGAACGGCTGGGCCGATTGCGTTCAAATTTGGTACACCGCTAGCGACCGGTTAGAAGGGTGCTTTGCTCAAGCCCGTTGGAAGTACCCTCTCGCCCTTCTGCACGTGCAGGGCTCACTCTCTCGCCCGCTCGTCCTTCGCCCAAAAGGCGTTTTACTGGTATTATGGATGCTACATCTGTCGCCGATGGTTATCGCCCAGTACTAGCCAAATATGGTTTTGCATTATAATTCGAGCAACTGGATACCTAAGTATGTACAAAAATGGTTTCGATGTCTTATCGATTTATCTAAACCGAACAGCGAAGGACTAGCTTTTAGTGAACCCGATTCGATTGCTACACTTGCCAACCGACCTCTTATCCTTCGTGGTGTAACGCCAGTCGACCCCGCAGAAACGGCAAGTCAGGGCTATAAAGGACCGCGTAACTCCTGACCGACGCAATCGCGCGTCCCGTCCCGTTCCGACCCGACCTGTCCCGAAGTGGCCGTACCCATAAACTAGCGGCATGGGGAAAACCGGACCGGGACGAGCAGAAGCCACGGCCCGCCACAGGCTTCAGAAGACGGGACATTAGACGGCAAATGGATAAACGAGATCTAGTGGCAAACCATGGACCGATGAGCGAAAAAAATGACACGACACAATTCTAGAAAGAATTCACTGTTGAATTTTGATTCAGCCATTCGGCATCCATTTTTACGGTAGTGTTACAATACACCAAGGGATGAACTAAATATTGGGTAAACGTACATTAATGCATAATTATTTCGGTTTATTCTGTGAGATTGGAATTGAACATACCGAATCCCATATTACCTTGATTAAAAGGTAACTAAACTTGGATATTATTTGGTCTTGTTGGTCTTGAGCTCAAGAATAAGAGATTTTCGTGTTACTTTTCTGTTTTCTTTTGTCCGTTAAACTAGTGTAGGTAAGTTGAGCAATGCAATATCAGCCAAAATCCTTATTGCTTTTGCTAAATTAATTTTCATCTCAGATAATACGCTTAAAGTTAATGGCCTTATAAGTTTCCTGGAAAAGGTCCACCCACATCACACCATTTGGTTTTCGACATAAAATCCGGCCGAGGGCGGTCGCCGGTCATGGTAGAAATTCCCCTCGCCATTTCGCCCGTAATCAACTACAGCTTCGCAGAAAAAAAGACAAGTGCGCCGTTGCAAAACGCAGCGACCGAAACCAAATCTCCATGTCTCAAATAAACAGGTGACCTCTGAGGTAAGGTCAAATACTCCAAGTTGTATGAAGAACTGAGGAGCGATGAATTCTCACGATTCCAGCCAGTTGAGATGGTCTTATAGGTATCCGGGTTTAGATGAATAACTTATCAAAAAAAGGCTCCAGTGCCACGACTTTGACCACGAAAGATTCCTTCGCACTGAGAGCTTTTCGACTTTTTTGGACCAAGCAGAGGCTCGCTTGCAACGTAACCAAGGAAGTGTCACAGATCAGTAGTTCATGAATTGACCTGGAAAAATTTTGGTATCAAAAGATCCTGATTAAATCAAAAGTCAGTTATGTCAACTATTAGCTCTCTATCGCTAACGTGTTCCAAACAATCGTGAGCCGTTTGAGTTTTGTGCATCTCTCTCCTCGGGGTGGGCGTCTTACTCTTACCCACCCACGGGGTAAGATGCCCGAAATGACTTGCACGAGGAAACGCGTATCGCGTATCATTCCCCATTCCTAACAAACGAATCCTACGGGAGGTATGTGTATTTGATCAGTTGGCAAAATGAATGCCTACACTTCAATAGAATCGTTTACTTAGCAACGAATCTTATCAAGTTCGTCCACAAGAGTTTTTTTTTAGCTTAACGGGGGCGATTTGTCCCACTCTCCAATACAAATGCCGTTTTTGGCGAAAATTCAAAAATAATGACGTCACTAACACCTCGATATCTCAAAAAATTTCGACCGATTTTTTTTTAAGTTCCTCACAACAAACGTCGATCAATCCTCCACAGCAATCCAAAACTGCGCCATTTTTTAGCTATAGTGCGGCTAAAAAGTGGTAGCCGCGCGGTAGCTCTAAGCTCCCCCAGTAACTCGCGGGTTAATTTGATTGAAGGGTGATTGATAAATAACTCCCATGACCTCAAGATACCTACCATAGTGGCGTAATATATAAAATCATGCAAGATCATCAATGCAAAATTGATTAAGTATCGGATCAATTGAAGCATCGGATATTGGCAAGGAGTGTATGAATTAGCGGATCATAGATGGCTGTGAATTGTGATGGTCTAAGCTCATTTCCGAAGCCATGATAATAGTCCAATATGTCTAATATGTCCAAAAATAGCATTTTTTATTTTTGGGGGTCAAAACTCAAAAATTTCAAAAATCCGAGATAGCAGTTTTGTAACCCTGTCAATTCTACACCTTTTATGTCTTGATCATTTTTCTGTATCTTCAAAGCTGTAGGCATGACAGCTCTTCTCGCGAAGGTCTTTTTTTGGTCGAAAATGGCAGAACATGACGTCATCCTGACGTCATTTGTGGCCAACCTATCAAAGTCTCTGGAAAATTTTTGTTCTCAATGTGTAAAATTGATGCCCGGAGGGGTTCTGAGAGTTTGGTGGCGATATCTCCAGCCGTTTAGGAGATATTGACGGAAAAAGACAGGGGGGGGGGGGGCCGTTTCGCCCCCCCCCCCCTACGGGGCGCGGGTATGCCAAAATTAAGCCCCCTTTCGCTAACGCGTTCCGAACAATCGCGAGAGAAGCGTCGGGGTTGGCTTTGCGCTTACCCCGCCCCCGGCGGAATAGGGTCAGTCAATAGCAGCGTGACTATAGAAGTGCAACAGATCTACCCGTCTATATCTACCGATGCATGCATACCTCACGCCTTTCCTGTAAATTTCGTAACTTGTCCCCGTACACAATGCTGAGTGATTGTTTGATTAGGGTGACAGCCGCTATAGATTTGCATACTCCGTTGGTTCCACTGGACCTCGTCGTAACACAGAAAGTGTCCAGGCTGAAGGCCACGCCCAACGGTCGTGGTCTCTGCCCCTGACTCGACCCGCGCGAAAGGGAGAGGCATAAAACGACCGTGCTGTCTCAGCAGCGACACACTCGGGCAACAGTGACCCAGACAGCAACATGCTCTACACCAAGGTGAGATGTGCACACAAACGGGATATTTTCACAGCCGTCAACTCCTGGTAACTTTGGTCGCAATGTCCATGTAACAGATTCGCTCATGCTAGACGAACTGAAGTGTTCCTTCTTCAGAAACGTTTTTAGTGCCAATGTAGCAAAATGCGACATTCCATATATTTCCGTAAAATCAAATAACTTTTTTAATCTCCTTTCAGGTTTTCACCGCTTCCCTGCTGGTCGGGCTGTGCCTGGCTGATGGAGGTGGTCGCTTCAGTCACGGCCACGGACGGGTGACCTCAGGTCACGGAGCTGTGACCCGAGGTCACGGTCTCGGATCGACTCGGCTGAGTGGACATGGAACTGGGCACAGCTCTCCCAGCGTGTCCTCTGGCTACAACGCCCCCAGCTCCGGCTACAACGCTCCCAGCTCTGGCTACAACGCTCCTAGCGTCTCATCCGGTTACAACGCTCCCAGCTCGAGCTATAACGCTCCCAGTGTGTCGTCTGGTTACAATGCTCCCACTTCTGGTTACAACGCTCCTAGTTCTGGCTACAATGCACCCAGCGTTTCTTCGGGCTACAACGCCCCCAGCTCCGGCTACAACGCTCCCAGCACCGGCTACAACGCTCCCAGCTCTGGCTACAACGCTCCCAGCTCCGGTTACAGCGCTCCTAGCGTGTCGTCTGGCTACAACGCTCCCAGCACCGGCTACAACGCCCCCAGCTCTGGCTACAATGCTCCCACCTCTGGCTACAATGCCCCTACCTCTGGTTACAGCGCCCCCAGCTCTGGCTACAACGCTCCCACCACCGGCTACAATGCCCCTACCTCTGGTTACAAGGCCCCTAGCCCTGGCTACAGCGCTCCTAGCTCTGGTTACAGCGCCCCTAGCTCTGGCTACAAAGCTCCCAGCTCCAGCTACAGCGCTCCCAGCTTTGGCCACCGCGCCCCTAGTTCCGGTTATGGCGCACCGAAGAAGTCGTCTGGCTATGGAAAATAAGATGTCGATTAAAATGTCGGGATTGTTCACTATGCCCTGTCGAGCTCAGTGACTGTTGATGTTATCCAGATGTCCGATGTTATTTCGTTTAAAACGTAAGCTGTATGAACTATAAAGGCACTACAACAATATTGTCGCGTCGTTCATATCCTTATTTAACACGCGCACCGACGGGGGTCTGCGACTCTGCGTCAAATTTGTACCGACGGGGGGGGGGGCGGATGACCGCCCCCCTGAGATCTCGAGAACGAAGCAAGATAGCGACAAGCGGTAAACGGCATCGGATACGCACGGACAAGGTCTACAATTTTTACTTTACAATAGGTCATTACAATAGGTCATTTACAATAGGTCATTTTCAGGTCAGGTCAAAGGTGACGTCACAGGGGTCAAAAAAGTCAAAATGGCGGCGCTAGATATGGAGAGTTTTTCTCGAATAACTTTCGAATTAGTCAAGATAGGAACAAACGAAGGGATTCATCGTGATCCTCTCGTCAATCCGCATCGAATGATATATATATATATATATATATATATATATATATATATATATATATATATATATATATATATATATATATATATATATATATATATATATATATATATATATATATATATATATATATATATATATATATGTTGACCTCGAAAGGTCAAGGTCAAAGGTTGACCTCAGGTCACGTGACCTCGAGGTCATCATGTATGTCATTCGATGCGTCTTGACGAGCGGAACACAATGAGACCATTCGCGCGGCTGTATCTTGTTCTTGTACGGAGGTATTGGCAAAAAACCTTTGGTGACCTTTGATGAGGTCACATGACCTTACAGCTGCCCAACAGCAAAACTGACCTCAAGGTAGTGAAGGTTGATCGTATATGAAGTCATGTATGGTATATGGGGCCATTCCGACCCGTTTTAGTGGTAAAAACAGGAAGTTGATTTTTCCCCATTGACTTATAATGGGGAGGTCGAGAAATTGACCTGACCTTAGGTCACCGATATCAAAATTCCGAGATATAGAAATTGTAGCTACTAATGACCTAATAACATCCTGCGGCTTTCAAAGGCCTCCGACATCTACTATAGCTCTGGCACGGTGACAAAGTTGCAAAAAAGTGACTTGAGGTTGGGTCATTCAAAGTGACCTGGTGACCTGACTTTAAAAGTTAGGAGGTTCAAACTTGCACATCATGTGTAAAATTGATGAGAGAATAGTCTTACCAAATTTCGCGGCGCTACGTGCCGCGGTTTTCCCGCTATTTGCGGAAAACCTCAGGGGGGCGGATATCCAATGAGACGGTCGGCCCACGCCCCCCCCCCCGTCGGTGCGCGTGGGCATAAAATCGAGGGACAGGCCACCTAAGCTGCCTGTCACAATTCTTTGTTGTACGCTTTTGCGGCTCAAAACACTCTTCTGGACGTGAGATGCCAGTTCAAATGTTTTAATTCAGCACTAGTTTTGGAACATGAAGGAGAATTAGATAAATATAGGTTCTCAAAGAGATAAAGAGTTCCTACGGGCAGGATAGTACGATATTTGCGCATTTAAATGAACTAGGTATTACACATTGTTGTCTGCGACCGCCACTTCTGCGTTTTGACGTTTAACCCGCGCACCGACGGGGGGGGGCGGATATCCGCCCCCCCTGAGGTTTTTCGCGAATAGCGGGAAAACCGCGGCGCGTAGCGCCGCGAAATTTGGTATGACTATAACCTCATCAATTTTACACATGGCGTGCAAGCTTGAACTTCCTACCTTTTAAGGTCAGGTCACCAGGTCATTTTGAATGACCCAACCTCAAGTCACTTTTTGCAACTTTGTCACCGTGCCACAGCTACAGTAGATGTCGGAGGCCTTTGAAAGTCGCAGGATATTATTAGGTCATTAGTAGCTACAATTTCTATATGTCGGAATTTTGATATTGGTGACCTAAGGTCAGGTCAATTTCGCGACCTCCCCATTATAAGTCAATGGGGGAAAAATCAACTCCCTGTTTTTACCACTAAAACGGGTCGGAATGGCCCCATATACTTTACATGACTTCATATACGATCAACCTTCACTACCTTGAGGTCTGTTTTGCTGTTGGGCAGCTGTGAGGTCATGTGACGTCATCAAAGGTCACCAAAGGTTTTTGGCCAATAACTCCGTACAGGAACAAGATACAGACGCGTGGATGGTCTCATTGTGTTCAGCTCGTCAAGACGCATCGAATGATATACATGATGACCTCGAGGTCACGTGACCTGAGGTCAACCTTTGACCTTGACCTTTCGAGGTCAACATATATATATCATTCGATGCGGATTGACGAGAGGATCACGATGATGCCCTTAGTTTGTTCCTATCTTGACTAATTCGAAAGTTATTCGAGAAAAACTCTCTCCATATCTAGCGCCGCCATTTTGACTTTTTCGACCCCTGTGACGTCATCTTTGACCTGACCTGAAAATGACCTTAGTAAAAATTGTAGATCTTGGCCGTGCGTATCCGATGCCGTTTACCGCTTGTCGCTATCTTGCTTCGTTCTCGAGATCTCAGGGGGGGCGGTCATCCGCCCCCCCCGTCGGTGCGAAGTTGGCGCAGACCCCCGTCGGTGCGCGGGTTAAACCGCGCCCCATTTATAGGGTGCAACGCGCCCTGTTGGGGGTGGGCATTTTGCCCCCCCCCCCTAAGATCTCGAGAACCACGCAACAAAGCGACAAGCAGCAAACGGTGTTGGATAGCCCCAGCGGAGAGCTACCTTGTGAACCAATATCATTGACCTAGGTCAAACCGATGACGTCACAGGTCAGGTCAAATGTCGAATTTTCACCGTTTACAGGCATTTCAGCAATCAAGGAATATGTCGTAAAATCAAGTAAAATGCATTTCATTGAAAATCACCGATGGGGAATTGTTTGTCACACATATTTTGCCATTTGAGGTCGCTGATGCCAGGTCAGGTCACAGAGGGCAGGTCATGGGTCACAATATGAAAATATCATGTGATGCATGTTTTATGGTCCATTTTACATGACAAATGCGATTATGTGGGTCAGGCAGCCTTTGGGGCCAGTTAAGGTTATGTTATGGTGAAGGTCAGGTCAAGGTCAGGTCAAGATCAGGTCAAATTAGGTCAAATTTCAAAGTTGATATTTTTGTATAAAATGGGTTTTGATTCGATGCAGCTCGTCACGGGGAGTCTAATGGTGGTCTTTGTTTTGCGCTACGTGGTCTAGAATTGCTAAAAATGGAGTTTAAAAATTTGACGTCATCAATTTTGAGCAGTTTGTTTCGCTATAACTTGGCCAAAAAAGAAGGTATCGATCTAAAATTTGGTATGGAGATAGAAGAGCGCGCGGACTATCATACATATTCCGATTTTTCGAAATTCGAATAACTTTTTGGATTTATTTTTGCGTTTTTTTTAACATCAGTTTTTTAATTTTTGGGGGTTAAAATTGCAAATTAAAAAAAAATGAGATAGCAGTTTTGTAGTTCTGGTTTTTTTTTCTTTACACAACCACGTAAAGTACTTTGAAATTGCTTGGTAACTGCAGCTTTTGTGAGCCTTTCAAGATTTAATGTTTTTTGGTCATTTTTGGTCGAACATGACCTCAGTTTGACCTCAATAACTCCTTACCTAAGGTGATCTAAGACTTGAAATTTTGTGTGAATGTGTCAAATTGATGCCCGGTAAGGAAATGAGAATTTAGCGGCGCTGCGCGCCACCGTTTTCTTGCTATTCAGGAAAAACCACAGGGGGCCATATGCCCCCCCCCAACGGGGCGAGGGGACGGGAAGGAGCCAATGACACTTCTTTGGTTAGGACATAGACCCCTTTAAACCCCTATTTACTTCTCTCAGTAGTTTCTCACCCAACTCTGACCCGAAGTCTGAATGTACCTGAGAACCTGAGATCAGGTACCGGAGAACGTAGGCGTTCAAATGTTCACTCATTTCGATCCAGTCATCTTTCGGATCTTGTCGGAATCCGAGTTTCTTCGACCAGCGCGTCCCTGTGCTTGCTTTGGCCTCTTTTCGGCGTGTGCTAGGCTGTTCAGGTCCTTGGCATGATTGGAGACGCAAGCGTTGAACAGCGCCCCCGCCATGGTGGGCAAGATGAGTTTGCTGAGTTTGTGACCAGCCGCGCACTCCAGCTGGGAGCCTTCTTTTTCTTCCAAGAGGTTCAGCGAGATCTCCTTAAACACTCTCCTGGGATTTGTGCACCCAAACAAAATGGCGCGGGTTTTAGCCTCAACTCTCAGGGACCTGAAGATGGAGCATATGTCGTCAGTGATTTTGAGACAAGTGGCAGATGGCTGGAGCCGGATGTCCGAGTGCCGCCGGTCGGTTGAGTTCTGTCGAGGCGAACTCGCGGAACGAGCGCCGCCTGGCCTCCACCTCAGCGTCCGCAGCTCTCCGCTTCTTCTCCTTCCAGAGAGCCTGGTTCTCCGGAGACGGGTCCACCTGGACGGCTGTCCTCGCTGCCCGGCGCTCTGCCACGGCTCGCACCAGCTCCTCGTCGAGAGCCCACGGCTGCGGGTCTGCGCGAGCGCCCCGCGGGATGTATTTCCCGGTCGCTCCGCTGATGGCACCGCTGAAGGCCGTGGCGAGCCGCTCCACAGAGTCCTCCCCGGACATGGCACCAGCCGCCACCTCACAGGCAGCGGCAAAGCCAGCCCAGTCGGCCTTGTGGAAGGCCCAGCGCTCCTTCCTGATTCGGCGAGGGCGAGAGCCGGAGATAGCAGCCGTGATGACCTGAGGCAGATGATCGCTGCCTAGGTCTGTTCCGGCTTGCCACGTGCAGCGCCGCGCCAGGTTGCTGTGTGCCAGCGCGACGTCCGGGGTGCTGTGCTGCGCCTCCTCTCCGTAGCCGCTCCTTGTCGATGCGCCGGTGTTGAGGACCTGCCAGTCCTTCTCGCTGACCCAGTCATAGACGCGTCGGCCGACCTCGTCTGGGTTAGAACAATGAACATCCCGGGCGGGGTGGTGACCGTTAACGTCTCCCATGATGATGACGTTGTCCAGGGTCGGGAAGGCCTCCAGTGAGAAGAAGTCCACCCGCTCGTCAGTCGCGGACGTCCTGATGGGCGGGCGGTAGACGTTGTAGATGTCGAGATGGTGTCTGAGTTGGGTGGTTGGTCTTGGTGCGCTCAAGATGACGCGTATGGCGCACCACTCGGTAGTGTCGTCCTGCGGCTGGAGAGGCGACTCCCGGATGGTCTGGAAGTTGAGGCCGTTCCTGACAAGGATAACGACGTCTCCTCCTCGGAACGACCCCTCACCTCGCCTGCCACGGGCCCTCCGCGTTACCGCGGCCGTCTGGTATCCCGGCACTGCCAGCGCTCCGCCCGCCAACTGGGCCTCTTGAAGTGCCACCACGTCCACCTTCATGTCCGATAGCCAGCGGCTGAGCTCTCCGATCTTGTTGAGGACTCCCTCCGCGTTCCAGCTGACCAGCAGCAGGCGGCTTCGGACTTGGCAGTTGTGGCGGTATCTCCGGTTCTTGGCGCGCCGGCTGTTGCCGCCCCGGGGCACCCTCGGGCCACGGTCTCGCAGACCCCCGCCGTCGGACCTCACGACGGGGGTGTCCGGCCTCACTTATCTACGCGGGCCGGGCCACGCCGGTGCCACACGGCGCGCCCGAACCCGCGGAGATGTGTAGTTGATGGTGGTCTGGTAGGTGGATGACGACGGCACCAGGGGGCTGCCAGTCCCCCGGCACCACCGGAACGGCTGCGAGACGGCGGGGCCGCAGGGCGCCAGCACCACGGCATCCTGCACGTCGGGGGCAGTTCGGACTCCATTTGGTTTGCTTGTTCGGCTTGCGGGCCGCACATGCCTGGGGTCGGCCATGGCTGGCCTTCCCCCCACCGTCCACCGCGGGGAGGCGGAGTCCTCTGGACGGCTTGGAGAAGTTCGTTACGATTACTTTACATATTTTGACGAAATGGTAGTTTCTCACATAAAAAAATATATAGTCAGGTACTTACTTGATGGGAAGCGTATATATGCTTGGAATTGCATCTGGTCTCAAACGCAGATTTTTCGGTCAGTTCTTCTGGCTGTTAGTGCTTCCTCGCAAACACTCTCCGTCGAGAAATGCAGCTCACACACTCCACTGTATGTAGTCCAGAGATATTGGCTTCAGGGGCTTTAGTACCTCTATCCACTTCTGACGACGGGTTTTCTCCACAGGGAATTTGAAAACAGACTTTTTCTGTTTATGACCAGATCTACACTTAAGAGCAGCACATTTACGTGCCATTTTAAAAATGTATGCCTAGTTAAATCTACATATCAGCGAAGTGTTAACAATTAAAACATGAGTAAACTTACCAATACACTTCAAAAACTGACAGATGGACAGCAAGATGGACAGAGATGTCCTTCGATGTGCATCAGATGTGCATAACAACCATGTGATAGATTTTATTTTCCAAAATTTCGCTGCATGTCGCGTCACGTTTGTCGTCTTAAGTGACACTTCCGTTCGGTTGCATATTTTAATCCTGCAGTTGCGATAGAGAACAGAGTCTACAAAAGATCAATTTTATCCAAAAATATTTAATTGTTTATGATTATAGAACTTTCATTCAGAAGATGAAGGCCAGACGAATCTGTAGATAAATTTTCGCGGCCATTCTACCAATTTAAAGTGATTTAAGAAGCTTGTAAAATTTTGCCTCAAATGTCGATTAGGCTAAGCCAGTGCACAGTCCATGTTTAAAGGGGTCTATGGTTAGGACATGTGGTATTATTAAACTAATAATAACTTGAGCCTGTACATCGATGACGGTTTTAGGTCTTACTTAGTTTGAAAGCGATAACGTACTTATCTTAAAGAAATTCACAATCTGTTAACACAGTTTATTTTCCGATCCAGAAACACAATCCGGACAGTCGAAAATAGATGCAGAACGACATCCAAAGGAAACATATCGCGGAACACAGAATTATAAAGCCACACGATTTCGTATAATTATAGCATTGACAATTGACACAGTTATCAGTTAACACAGTAAGCATTTACAAACATTATACATTTGTACATGACAAACATTTGTCATGTACAAATGTTTGTACATGACAATCGAATGTTCGAATCGAATGTTCGACAATCGAATGTTCGAATCGAATGTTTGTATATGACATACATTTGTCATGTACAAACATTTGTACATGACCATCAACACGATGCTCTACCCACCAAGAACAAAAACAATGTGGGTATTCAAGCCGACATGAGTATATCTGACAAATATGGCCTTGTCTATAGGTTCGTGGCGCTGTCCCTCAGACGAGCTGCTGGGACCATTTCAGCAGCGCGTCGCCCTCCTCCTGGGTGAAGTAGTTGGTCCAGTCGCCGACCTTACCCTTCCTCATGAACGCACCGACTTCCTTCTCCGGGTGAGCCACGCCCTCCTTCTGCCAGTGGGTGTAGTTGACCGCCGGGTTCTTCTTCATCTCGGCGAAACTGGTGCGCTGGAAGATGGTCTGCGCCAGCTCGTCGGTCATGGGCCTCCCGAGGAACTCGGCCACCCTCTTGATACAGCCGACGCGGTCCTGGTGCAGCTCCTCGTAGGTGACGCAGAGCACCTGGCCGGCGTGGTCGCGGTACCCCTTGACGTGCTCCCGGTACGGCCCGTACATCATCTCGCCCTTCTGGAAGGCGTCGCGGAACTCGGCGAACGTTCCGCGGTACGAGTTGAAGTTGACCATGCGGCAGAAGTGGTAGTAGGAGACGCAGACGTCGCGCGGGTCGCGGCTGACGTACAGCACCTTGGCGCCGCTCGTCCACACGCTCTCAGGCAGTAGGTGGTAGGGCAGGTGCGTCTTGATGAGACGCGGGTCGGACATCTCCGAGATCTCCTTGAAGCGCATCCGCTCCACAGAGGGCATGTCGAAGAGCGGGAACCGGTACTCGAGCGGCTCGTCCGTCTGCTTACTCTGCTCCTGGTGGACCACCTGCCACACCAGCTCCTGCAGCCATGTGGTGCCAGACTTGGGGAAGCTGGCTACGAACACGTCCGTGGGTCGCGCGCTGAAGCGGCGCCAGTGCTCCGGCGCGCCGGCCATCACGTGCCACGTGTTGATGACGGTTCCCTTGTAGCGGTAGTGGCGCAGACGCACCGACTTGTAGTTGGGGTCGAGCGGCAGCGGCTCGCAGCCCTCCGGCAGGGTCATGGCCGCGATTTTGCGGTCCAGGTCCTCCAGGTAAGCGGCCTCCTGCTCCGGCGTCGGCGCCGCAGGCGGATCCGTGGACTCGGGCATGGCTGTGGCTACGGCGGTACCTGTCTGTTGACCGTCAGCTGAGGGCGTAGGCTCAGTGATCTGACCACGGGTGGCAGTCAGAGGTGACGGAGCTTTCTCGGCGGACTCAGCCGTGCGAATGTGGGCCAGATCCCGAGCTCGCGACCTTTATCTACCTGTGCCGGACATATCGCCGTTTGTTGGATGATAAGGTGGCTGGAGACTGTTGATAAACACGCGGGAAATACGGGCCGGGAAACACGCATCCTCAGAGCATCCTCTCATCCTTGGGTTTTACAGTCAGTGTTTCCCGACCAAACTTGATCATGAACGATCAGCACATCAACCTTTCAGTGCGATAATGCTGAAAGACACAAATGCGATATTTGTCCATGGGCCACTTTCAACTCTGCTCCCTAAGCAATAGTCCGCAGCATGCTTATTTGTCTGAATTGTATCAAATGACGCAGTTTAAATTGATATCATATCATATGACACGGTACTTTTCATTGCGCTTGCTGTATACTTGTGTACGTTTAGTATCACATAGGAACATTTGAGAAAACTGCCCTTTCTTTCCGGTATTATGTTTCGATGAAGAACACATTTTCTGTAAACCTTGTGATTTTAATAAGGCAGAAAGGTAGGCATGGAAGTTTGATAGAGTTAACGGTCCCGTTAAAAAAGCTGCGTCCCTTTGTCGGAATTCGTACCCGGTACAACTTACTACCGGTGGGTAATAAAACGCCGTTTTATTGGATATCAGCCGTTTTCAGGACGGACTATCTGGCGAACGCACCTAATTTCACCAAAAATGCGCTAAATCACTTTTACATTAATTAAACATCTTCATGTCATTAATTTATTTCAGTGTTTTGATCGAAAATAATGTATGGTCTTTTGAAAAATGAGGTGTATAAGCATCTGTGCAACCCAGACTGATAATTTCTAAGAAACACAATGAACCTAATTTGACCAAATCTGCACCAAATCTGCACCTATTTTGCACCTAAGCTGACCAAATATGTACCAGACGGCCGTCGTCAAAACGGCTATTGTCTGCTGACATTGAAGGTCGGGTATAGGTAAGTACCTGAACTAAATAACAGTCTACCTATGTTATGATAATAAAACAACTTCCAAATAACATTGATAATACCCATGTGTAATAAATATATAAAAAAAAAACGTCAGGTTACGTACCAGTTGTTGCCGAAATACCAATGCATCGCGGTACAAGATAGGTTTTGGCGCACTGTTTCCGTACAAAAATAGTCGGGTAACGGTTATTTCAAATTGTCAATGTAGACCACAAGAAAGTGTCAGTGTCACCATGCCCATCATCATATGCATTATCATGATATTGCTATCATTCCTATATCGAGCACGCATACAGACAGACAATGGTATTCCCACCCCTCGAAAACTCTTGACACAAGTTGACAACGCTCTGCTGCAAGATATGGATTTCCACTCTCAGCGCACGGCAGCTGTACTGTGTCTTTATCGGTAAGCCGGAGAGTCACAGGCCTCTTATCAGACTAACGATAAAATGGGCCATCTTTGGACGACCCACTTTCTGCAGAACAAGAGCGAGATTTAGCACAGAAGTTTGGACGGGAACCGTCTAAAACAGCATTTACTGATTTAGACGCGCGAATAGCTCCCTTTTGGGGCTATATCATTTCAAAAACATTACATAATAAAAGAAAACATTCGGTAGATAGTTGTCATAAATCCAGCTCATCGCATATTGATAAAACTTAATGATTTGACGTTCCCCTTATGCCAAAATGTTTCGATAAGAAATGCGGCAATGCCCAGACATGTGATAATAGCATCGGAGTCGTGAAAGGCATAGGCTGAAGTCATGCAACATATTTGAGCCGCGAGGTCTGGCGCCTGAATTAATTGCAAAGTCTCGTTTTGAGTATTCGATGCTTTACTGAGGCGACAGGGCACCCAGAGCTCTCAGAGGTTATCCTATTTCTCTGGCAGAGGGCAGGGCAGTAGATACGCAGTGTGGCGCTAGCACTGCGGCGGTGAACAGTGTTGTCCCTGGCTAGATGACGGTCCGCTCTAGTGGTGTCAATCGGTTACCGAAAAAATCGGTTACCGAAAAGATATGCTGACCGATTCGGTAATCGGTCGGTCAGGCCCCCCAAAAATCGGACACTTTCGGTCACCCTGTCAGTGAAACCATTTTCAAAAAGAGAAAGTATTCCATTTTTGCCTAGTTAAAATGAAAGTTATTGGGATGTTAATGATAAAGTTGCAAAATTTCCCCCAAATACTACAAGGGATGCCATGTTTTGGCAACTTCAGTAGCCATCCCACTCAGCAGGCAGCAGCCACCAATTGTCCAACCACAACCACAAGCAGGCTGATTTTGACTCAGTTGGCCCCACAAATACACACCATTGTGAAACTCAATTCCAGTCTTTAACTGTAAGTAACTTCTACCACAAAATGTATTTTGCAGTGGCTAAGAATTGACTGAACTTGGACTGAAATGCCATTTCCCATTAGTTTCCATCAGAATTTACCAAATAATTCAATTTTGGGGTAGAGTAATAGCAAATAGAATTTCGGTCAAATTTCGGTCAAATTTTGGCTTGGGATGTTATCGGTCGGTATTCGGTCGGAAATTTTTCCCAAATTTCGGTTTCGGTCGGTATCGGTCAGACATTTTTTGGAAAATGACACCACTAGTCCGCTCCCTTCCCAGAGTTAAATTTGCCTGAGGTCATTTTTTCCCGGTGGCCGCTGCTCGAATTGAGACACTTCTGGGGATATCCCTACAAATGAAGAGGGTAAACCGTAAACTGTGCTGTGGCCTTGACCAAGCAAGTCATGCCTCACAAGTCACATCTCAGCGGATGTCTAGGTAAGGAGTAATAGTTTTTGTGTATTTTTGTCATTTACATTCGTTTTGCAACCAGCTGGCTCGGAGTTTACCAAAATATGCATACTTGTATTTGCAATAATTTCTTTACTCAGAGTTGCTGCAAGGCAGTGAATAGTGAAACCCACTGGGGGACTAGAGCTCACGCTACACACTATACAGGTCCCGGAGCCAGGGCGAGGTCGATGTCAGCGACATCTCTTGGCACAATACTAGCGACGCCTGTGAGCCGTTTGGTGAAACGAGGCAGCGGGGATGCTTCAGCAATCATTTCATAAATATACCAACAAGATATTACAACAAAAATTACCCGACGTTTCGTTTATTTCAACTTTTTCAAGGGTAATGTAATCTTGTACTCTTGAAAAAAATTAAAATAAACGAAACGTCGGGTAATTTTTGTTGTAATATCTTTATCTTGCATATTTATGAAATAATTGTCACATTACAATTCAGCAATCATCATTGATACGAAACTATGGGGACCAGACCGGCTGTCAATTTCCAAACTCTGACTGGAACGGTGACTTTGATGACGGGTCGCTGCACCGCACCTGACGATGGGGTGGGACGGGACTGCTGATCTGGTCGTCTCCCCTGATCACCTCCGTCCATCCCTGCTGAATATTTTATCCTCCGGCCCCTAATGGGACACCGATCGGACCTTAATTGAAACCGGAGCATAATTATCGCACAGAACAAGCTGTAATTGCTGTTTTTCCGGACACACGGGTCAATATTTGATGGTTAGGGCGGACGACTGGTGTGTTTACTCGTTGGTTTTTGTCGTAGGGATTTTTTCCCCATGATGTGGCACTGAGGGCAATGGCTAAGTAAAGCTAATGAAAACATCGATGTCAGCGATGGTAGCCTACCAGGGAAACCGAGGGGCCTGAGTTTTATCACCATTAGGTGCCCTAAAAAAACATTAAATTTTGAAACATAATGACTTGACAACTGACAAGTCAACTTTACGACACATAAAAACACATTAAAAAATAAATAGATATAATTAAAGCATGTAACACTTGGTCAGGAATCGGCTCTGCTCCAGCCTGTTTCGGCCCAAGTCTAAGCCTTCTCCAGGACCTGTTCTAGCTCCAGTCTCAGTCTGCCCCAAGACTGTCAGCAGCCACCAGACGGGAACAGACACCTGACTGACGCGCGGAGGTCGGAGCTCTGGCACCGGACAGTCAGAGGGAACACGGCCAGTCGGTCACATATTCAGCCAGCCAGTCACATGGTCACTGAACAAGGAGAGGAGGCTAGTCGCCAAAGCTCAAAGGGTGCCGCTGGTAAAATAAGAGACCGCCAGTCGTCGAACGGCACATCAGAGAAGTGGAAAGCTCTGACTTTTGGCCAAACACTCTTCATCATAGCTATCACTGGTGCTATGCAAAATGCATCTTGATGCTTTGATACTATGCATTCACTGCAATCAGTATATGATTCGCTGCTGTGCTAGCCATATGTTACTGGCATCGATCGACACTAATGCATACACCGGCTATCCCCTTCCACCCCATAGGTGTGGGGACGGACTGGTGGTGGGGGCGGTGGGACCCGCCCTGCACTGCCGGTCGATGGGTGTGGCAAGGGTTGTCACACAGACTGTCACACCGGCTGTCACACGGCAGTGTCGGACCTGTCACCGGCCTGTCGGGGACAATGTCGGCCGCCTGTGTCACGGGGAACCGCCCGGCTCGCGGACTGACGCGCGTGGGAGAGCCGACACCTGCAGAGTACCGACCGACCGGCGCGGCGGTGAGGGCTTCACGATAGCGGCAACGAAAACGGCAGCGCAGGCACTCAGAAACGGCACTGTGCGATAGAGGAAAAGGGGGCTACTTGTGCTCTGTCGCCCATAATAAATTGTAGGGTTATCTTGAATACTATTACTTCACTCTTGGAGAAGCTAGGCAAAAGCCGTTATACCATTCCTTTCTATGAGCAAAATGGTCGGCTGTTACTGTGCTGTCAATTGAACTTTATGCTGAACGCATTCCATCAGAGCAGTGGTGTAACATATGCATACGAATCTTTACATACATAGTTGAGAAATTGAGACCCCTTATCGCTTTCACCTTCCATCTGCCATCTCCGGTAGACTTTTTGTACTCGTCAGCTTCGCGGTATGTCACCGGATAATCTGTACATTACAGCGACAATCGTTGCAGCCGAATGCACTTTGAATGATAATTAGGCGTGCAAGGTGCACAAGACGAGACTAAAGGGGTATGCAAGCCATACGTGTCATACTTCCTTTACAGAA